CACAGAAAAGCATCGGCAGAGAAATGAACACTCAGTGGTGTTCGTGTGCAACCTGCAATGCATTCCTGTGCTGTCTAGTTGTAGCTAATTAATGTCTGTAACCTACCTGGTATCTAAAGACATGTCAGGTAAACTCACTCTCTAGACATAAATGCCAAAAATGGATGTTCCCAATGGGGGTCTGAAGGAGAGGGGACAAATGCCAGGCCACTCACCCCCCCCTTTCCTGACATTCTGTCACACGGGGGGACTTAGAACCACTATATGCGGAAAGGGCAACACTTTCCAGGCCACATGGGTGACCAAGTCCTAAGGCTTTCTTTGAAATCACAAATCAAATTCTATGGCTTCTTTAAAAAGGCCCGAACCAAGTTAATCATTGGCATAAAAAATCGGAACAGGGGTTACCTCCGAGTGGAGTGATGACAAAGCAGGAGCAGGAAGAAACTTTCTAGGGTGGTGGAATATTCTCTATCTTCACAGGCACATGGGTTATACGGGGTCAGTCTGTCAAGACTTAGTGAATGGTATAACTAAGATTTTTGCATTGTACCATATATACATTTAACAAAAAAAAAAAAAGAAGAAGGAAAGAAGAAGAAAGAAAAAAGAAGAAAGGCAGGGAGGAACGGTAGGCCTGAAGGGGCCATCAGAGCAGAGAAGGCAGACCTTTCTCATGAGCAGCTGTGCATCATGGGAGCTTAGAAGTTTGGGAGGATGTCCGTGGACAAAACTGGCCACCACCTCCTCGGGAGAGCAGCTGCCTTGAGAAATAAACATGTGACAGCAACCCAGGCCAGGATTCTCCCCAGTTAGCCTTTGTCCCAAACTGAGAAGGCTAATCCATACCAAGATTGGGTAATGCACTTGGTCTTCTGTGATCCCCTTTCTTCAAAGAGCTCACGGAGAACAGGGATGCTTTGCAATCACAGCCATCTTTTTCTAACAGTACCAAAGAGAAGAAATGGGCAGCTAGCTGATTTGAGGGTCTGTACCAAAATCTAGTTTTCGAAGTGTTAATTACAATGAGAAATGGACTGCCACCAAAGCAAGGAACCTTAAAATCTAAATGGAAAGTAAAAGGCTTTGGAATTACTTTATAGTCCTGAGATATAAATAGGGGTAAAGAACTTGACTGTTTATATCAAGTTGCTGCCAGAGAGATTCCTGGGGTTTCACTGACCTTGATGCTAAGTACCAACTCACTCTTCCCCAAAAGGCTTTTGCCCATGTCTGGGTTTACCCACCCAGCTTGTGCACTTCAAGGAGGCAACAGAGTGTAATGGTTGAAAAAGCAGAGTTCTGACTTTCACACTGAACCCAGGTCTCAACAGTATCTCTGTGCCTCAGTTCCTTCATCTGTAAAAGGGGTAGAATAAAAGTATCTACCCTCATGATTTTTGTGAGTATTAAGTAAATAACATCTAAATAAAGAGTGAAAAACTGGGTCTAGCACATGGCAAGCACTCAGTAAAAGGTGGCTAATGATGATGATATTCAGGCTTAATCTGGTTCATATTAGCCCCAGGTTATGAAGGAGAAGGTGGATGAATTAGGAGATATACACTGAGCTCAAGATCCCTAATACTTGGTCTTAGATACCTTTTTGCTATAAAAACATGGAACAGATAGATTTTGAAGAGAGGCCTTGGCAAGACGGAGTAGAGAGGCTCTGATGAACTACAATGTCACTGATGCAAAGGCAGCACACGGAACTCCATGGTAAAGGCCGGGTAGCACCTCCTTCTTCATCCCACAACCTCACAGGCGCCCTCGCATACCTCCCTAGCCAGCCAGCTTCCTTCCTAGCTGGAGCTTAGAGATATTTTAAAAACCCAGGGATTTATCACCCAAACACAATCGTATTATCATTTTGGCAAATTTCCTTCCAGCTGTGTAGTAACAGTTCTGTGTTATTTCGCAGTTTATCTCCTTTAAAGAACAGTTGCATAACATCCAAGTATGAAGAGCCACACACTTCACTTGACTAATCTTCTAGATTTGGACTTTTAGGTTATTTCCAATTTTTACAGAGAACAATTCGTGCATTTAACTTGCTTCTTTTTGAGAGTTTGTATTTAGAAATGTTGCCTTAGGAAGTTTTCAAGTAGAATTACCGCGTCAGCCACTCTGAACGGTGGTAGGGCCTTTAATTCACTCTGCTTTCACTGGGTACCTGCAGAGAGCCTGGCACTGTGCTCAGATCGAGAACAAAACATAGATACAATGTGGTCTTGGCCCCTGTCCTCAAGGAGTTCACAGGCAGGGGGAAAACATACACATGCCAAACACATTTTCCACAGGGTGGTACCAATTGATATTAAATGAAGTACCTAAGGAATGGTCTACATTTTACCACTTCAACCCTGTTAGGATTTGAATAAACCAAACCAAAAACTGATTATTTGCAGGTAAAAATGAAATCTTGTTTTAATTTGAGTTAACGCTTACTATTAGATGTGCTTCCCTTTTTATGAATCACTTCATGTTTTTGCTGATTTTACTGGGATGTTGGTGTATTTCTCACTGATTTGCATGCTTTCCTTTCAAAGCAAAGACATGAGCCCACCATCCGTATGCACTGCCACACTTTTACTTAGATTACCATTTTGTCTATTTTTTCCACACTCAGAATGACTTTCACTAATTTGTACTTGGAGGTATGCCCCTTGGCCTATATTCAGAGATGTCATAAGAAACTACTCCATGAAACTTGTTACTTTATTTATTGAAAAGATATTTAAATATAACGTAGGTTACATTAGCTTCTTCTCTACAAGAGCCCACAACAGAAATTCCTGATACTAGTACCAGGAATAATTATGCTTCTCGTGAGCAGTGGGTTTGTTTTTATGTTATGAACACAGTGAATCATGGAAATCATCATGTCTTCTTTGTATCAATCCAGGTCAACTGACCAGCTCACTACTAGCAATGTAAGCACTTTAAAAGCACACATTTTTATATACTTAGCTTCATTCCTGGCTTTATCTTACTTCCCTACTTTCATTTTCCCTATCCATTTAATTAAAAATTTTAATCCAGTTACTAAAATTACTACATATACAAAAATGCATACCTAGTTTGAAAAAATGGGAAGGTTCAAAAAAGTACAGACGAAAGTAGAAAGTCCCAGCACACATTGCATTAGCACACAAGGGAGTAAGGGACACAGCTGACAAGCCAGTGGGCGAGAAGCAAGTAAACACACAACCACCACCAAGTGTGGTAAGTACTACATGGTAGGGAGGAGTGTGCTGTGGACACACAGAAAGGGCATCTAAGTCAGGCTGAAGGGGTCTCTGGAATGACTTCTGGGGGAACAGATGCAGAGGCCAGAGGGAAAAGCAGTCTCACAGAGAAAGAGGCCCGGGCAGCCCAAGAAATGAAAAAGATCTTACACACTGAGCCAAGGAGGTTTAAACTTGATCCTGAAGATACCAGAGAACCCACTGTGGAGTTTTACATGGGACTTAAATGACACAATTAGATTTGCATTTGAGAAAGAAATGCCTAATAGTGGTGTATAAAAAAGATTGATAAGAGATAAAAAAATGTTAACCAGTAACTCTAGCTATGTGGTCAGAAGTGATAAAGGTCTGAATGATTTAATACATTAAAAAAACGAGCTTCCACTTCTGTATTTTCTAACTATTGTTAATATGTAAAAATGCTATGAATTTTTGCCAAACTCATTCAATTTAACCTCCTGAATTCAGATTTCTTGAAGTATTTTATATTACCAAAAATATAACTTATCTCTTCAAATATTTATACTTCATTTCTTATTGTATTGGTCAGAAGAATAATTAAAAAAAAAATTACCCAAACTGTATGACTTTAGGTTAGAAATTGAAAAATGGTACTAGAGAACAAAATAGAGATTTTGGAAATGCTTTAAACTCTTTAAGAACTTAATATGACAAACCAGAAGCAAGTGTGGAGAGGATAACAATGTGGAGAGGATCCGCCGTGTAAGACGTGGTGCCGAGGCCACAGGAACCCACCCACCAGTGCAGTGCAGGAAGACTGCTTCCCACCACCCTGCACTCGGATGGGCCACAGAGTTAAATGTAGGAAGAAAAGAGAGACAACGGAACAGCATGTTTATTCCAGCTGTGGAAAAAAGATAAAGTTTGGACTACTGTGAAACAAAGGATATTACCAGAGAAAAACTGAGTAGGTATGAGTATATAAAAATGACACAGTTCTGTCCAGTGAGATGTGAAAGAGCGGAGCAGAAGAGAAAAACATACTGGTATCAGCTTACTAACGTGTGTGCACATGTGTGCATACAAATCTACTACAAATATGAAACATGTTTGGTCAGCCATATTGCACTGAATAAACATGGTCCAGTGGTCAAAAGAAACAGATAATCGGTTCACACATAAAGGAGATAAAAATAGTAAACCATCACTTGGAACGTTGGATAGCCTCTCGGGAAACACGCGAACTGTCAAACACACTTTGAGGGGATCGCACCCTCTGAAGGAAGAACCTGACAGAGAGGCAGAACACAGTGTGAAGAAGCGAAGAGTACGCGCAGCCGGCGCCCCGGCAGCTCGCCCATGCGCTGCGGAAAGCCAGGTCATGGATGCGGCCGCAGCTCTGGAGGCATGCACGCGTGTCCGTGTGCGGTTGCCCGCTCTGACTGCTACCTCCACTGAGAAGAGCTATATCCCAAAAGGGAAATACCATTATTTTTGTTTAAAGGTATTCAGAGAACCATTCATAACAGGAAAAATGAAAATAATCCAAGAACCTAAAAAAGTAAAAAGGCCAAACGAACCATAGGATGGCAACAAGGTATGTCATACAGTTTTTTAATAAGGGCGCATACACGGGCACACGAGTCACTAAAAGTACAAAGAAAGGAACTCCAACCAGTACTCTGCAAAACATGCATGTATGTGCGTAGATTAACAGGGACAGGCACTCTGCTTTGGAACTCGGGTTTCTGAAAGGAACGCAACCGCTGGACTGTCTGAAAGGCTTACCGTGAGTGTGGCGAGCGACATGAAGCCGATCAGGTTATTCCACACTTTATCGATGTCCTTAAGCAACTGCTGCAGCTTCTCACTGCACACCGCAGTGGCTTTGATCCCCAGCTCCACACGTTTGGTCACCCTGTACACCTCCACAACACCTGACAGGGTGACAGAGTGGAGAGTTAGGTGCTGGGAATATAGAGACAGAGACGGCAGACAAGGCCGCACTGCTGCCTGTTGACACCTTAGTTGGAAAGGACTCCATCTGGACAGAGGTGGATGTGCTGTTCCTTGGACCAACCACCTCTCGATGCTTCAGCATAACTCAATGGTGAGAGTGTAAACCCTAGAGCCACACTGCCCTGTCACTTACTAGCTGTGTACCCTTGGGCAAATACACGACCTCTTTGTGCCTCAATTTCCTCATCTGTAATATTGAGTTAATAACAGTACCCGACCCCACAAAGGATGATTGAGGGGATTAAATAGGTCAATACTGTAAAAGGCTCAGAACAGTGTCTGTTGAACAGTAGGCATTATGCAAGTATTAGCTATTTTTTTCTCCCTTTTTAATGAGCCCATCTGTTTCAATTTGGGAAATACCATTAAACTTGCTTAAAATGGGAACATTAAAAGTTTAAAAGAATCTGAATATCAATATCATCACAAAGTAAGAAATATCTCATTCTGCCCTGGCTGGCATAGCTCAGTGGATTGAGCGCCGGCTGCGAACCACACATCGCAGGTTCGATTCCCAGTCAGGGTACATGCCTGGGTTGCAGGCCATGGCTCCCAGCAACTGCATATTGATGTATTGATGTTTCTCTCTCTCTCCCCACCCCTTCCCTCTCTAAAAAATAAATAAATAAAGTCTTTAAAAAAATATCTCATTCCTATGAATGCCCAATAACTTATACTCTGTGGCTTCATGTATCTTTTTTATACACTAGACAGGACTCAGAACAGTTCTTTTCCTGTGGTTTCTGATGGTGGCTGAACTCTTCCAGCAAGGACAACAGGTGGCAAGTATCCCTACACTAGAAGGTCAGCCACCTGACGAACCCCTGACCTGGCTTGAACGGGGAACCCCCGTCCCTGGCCTCTCTAAGAGAGGACTGGAGGACTCCAGGGGGTCTCTGCAGGGGGCATCATCAGCCCTGTGTACAGCACTGTGGCTTTTCCTCTTCCTCTTCCAGGGGGACAGGGACTGTTGCCCAACCTACACCAAGTGAGGGGCTTCTACGACAATCTTTCATGGATACAAGGAGACCTCCTAGAATGAAAGACAGGCAGCCCATTGCCTGGTAAACTCCTGTTTGTGCAGTAGAATTGGGCCTGTCGGGGTAGGAAAGAGGAACTACAGTGAGGCTGCAGGAGCAAAGGGGGAACCACATCCCTTCACTACCCCCTCACCCAGCAAATATTTTTCAGTGACTACTCTGTGCCAGGCATTAATCTAGCTGTTGGAGACACAGCTGTGAACAAAACAGGCCAAAATCCCTCCCCTCTTAGAGATTCATCCTAGTATAAACAAGAACAATAAGTAAAATACAGGGTCCAGCACAAATAATGTCCCCTTTTTATTACAAAATCTTTTATTACAAACTCATAAGCATGTAATTCTGTAACAGAAAAATATCACACTCAAGCACACTATATGACATTTTAGATAAAATGTTCAAATTAAAGCTATAAATTATTACAGCATATTATTACCCTACCGACCACACTCAAGCAGGCGTTACTTCTGCCGGACCCTGTACATAAGATATTAAAGGTGACAGGCCAGGGAGAAAACCAGGCAGGGAAAGGGATAGGAAGTGTCAGGGTGGGGGGAGGAGATACAGCGGTAAAGGGGTTGGCGAGGAAGACCTCACTTAGAAGGTGACATCTGAGTAAAGATCTGAACAGAACAGGGTCCAGTGCCTGTGGCTCCAGCCCGAGCCCGAGGTGAGGAGGACAGAGATCGGGGTTCCCAGTTGGATCGGGATGTTTAATAGCTGAAGGTGGCCAGGGAGTTAAGGAACCTGTGATGTCATTACGGGGTACAGGAGACAAACTGACAGAGCGTGGTAAGGTAAGGCGCTGAGTGGAGAGCCAATGACTTCATTTTAATGTCTCCCCTAGTTCAGGCTCTGATAAACCAGTAACACAGACGTAATTGTACATCGTTGCCACTATGTTATAACTAGGACTGGGAAACTTGGCCATAGAGACCTTAAGTCAAATAGTCAAATAATTGTTTCTGCTTATGACTTAAGTGTCTTATTTACAAATGCAGGTGCTACTTAATAAAGTCATATGTAACTTGGGAGACCTAGATTAAGCTACTTAACATAAGGGGAAACTGAAAATATTTCAAAGTGTCCTGATTTTGAATAAGTAAAATATAAAAGAACATACCTAATAAATATTCCATGCCTTGAGCTGACTGGATAACTTCTGTGCACACAGAACTACTACTGATTCCATTTAAGGTGTCATTTGCTTTCTTAATGACCTACAAGAAATGGCATCACATCACCCGACATATTAAGAAAAGTCATTGCAAATCAACTTACTATTAGTAAAAAACCCAAGGGAAAGCCCAGGAGGTGTGAAAAAGCATGACTAACTGATGTATGTACAGTATGTATGCTGAAACAAATCCAAAAATTTAATTTTTTAACCTTGAAGAAACAACCCTCCATTTCTTTGGGAGAGAAAAGATGGAGGTGCTTTGGCTCAAATACTATTTTGATTTAGGCAAAGCGAATGATTCCATTTTGCTATTTCTTAAACACACTGACAGATGAGGGCACAACCGACAAACGAGCCTGTGTCTGCTATCACAAGTGTGAAAGAAGCCTCCCTCAAGATGCACGACCTTCCACAGAGCTTCGCTTTGCCCAGGCCGTTGAGGGCGGGCTCTCTCTGGTTTTGCCTCTGTCTACTCGCATGCTCTGAGAAGGCAAAATGACACAAGACAGCACTTGCACAGAGGTGAACACCAGCACAGTGACATACTCACTTCTAGGGCGCTCCCCAGGCATCGCTGCCATTCATAGGCATATCTCTCATTCTCCTGTGAATTTTATAGAAAGAACTGGGTTAAAAGGACAAGTCTGGAGTCCTCTATTTATGTCAATTCAGGGAGCACTAGAAGACTGTCCTTTTTATTAAAATCACTCTAGTTCAAGTACACTTTTTTTCCTTAGATTTTTATTTATTTTTAGAGAGAGAGAAGGGAGGGAGAAAGAGAAGGAGAGAAATACAATGTGTGGTTGCCTCTTGCATGCCCCCCACTGGGGACCTGGCCCACAACCCCGGCATGTGCCCTGACTGGGAGTCAAACTGGTGACCCTTTGGTTTGCAGGCCAGTGCCCAATCCACTGAGCCATACCAGCCAGGGCTCAAGCACAGTTTATCTTATGAACCTACTAGTGACTATTTAAAATTACTGGTAAATGTAACTTCCAAGCACATGACTTGTGGATCTGAGGGAAATGTTTTGTATTGGCTTCTCTCTGCAAGTGTTGCTTCATGTGTTCTAGTGATAGCATAAACTTCTGCAAAGGTGCTCATCACACAGGTGTCTAGTGTAAGATCCCCTATCAAACCACCAGCTTTCCACAGTTATAATTCTGCGTGTGTGTGTGTGTGTGTGTGTGTGTGTGTGTGTGTGACAAGTGGGGTGGGGGAGAATGGTAAAGTGTTGGCTCTGCAAGGAAGACAGCATGGGACTAAGATATAGCAACCATAAACAGAAGATTCATAACATTCCCCCTTCTCCTCCATTTTTGATGTTTTCACATTCACTGAAATGATGAAGTTCAAGTGCTCAAAAAGAATTCCCTTAAACACATCCCCCCTTGTGAAGTCCCACGAATAATTCCGGTGTTAAGGTCACTAACTACCTTCAGGGGATGTCAAATCTGGGAAATATTTTCATCCAGTGACAATGTCACAATTCCCTCGCTTTAATTACATATTCTATGTCTGGTTCCTTGCGTGTCCTATGTGAAAGCTGCAGGCATTTTTCCTCAGGGCCTCTTTGCTCAGCTGGTCTCTGACCTGGCCCTGTGGAAAACTGCCCCACTCACCTCCACCTCTCCTGTCAGATCTTTGTACTTGTCACGGATGACAGGCAGAGCGGGCTTCTCACTCAGAGTGTTGGAACGGTCCCTGAAAGGCTGCTCCAGAGCCGGAGAAGGAGAACTACGGCTTATTTCTTTATCGCCAAGGCTCAAACTCCTCTTGTGTGATCCTGGGAGAAGTGGATGACATAGTTAAAGGTTTTGATTACTCAGCTTAGTTCAGGCAGAGGCTCTTGCTAGCGTGGGCCTCCTCTGTAGATGTTTATGTCACGAGGCATTCAGAAACACCACCCTCATTCCTTATGCCAGGCAAGGGGCATGATGAATGCTTTCCATTGAACTCTCTTGCTTGGTTCCCCTGCCTTTACTTTTCTCTACTACTCTTCCATGACCTATCATCATTCTTGCATAATTCTAGTAGCAAATCATTGCAGTCTGGAGGACTAGCATGGCTTTGTAAATATCAGTGCATCAGCACCGTGTTACCTTTCCAGTCTTAGTTATGGATTTGCACCAGTCTCCTATGTACTCTCTCAATCTAATGGAAACCAATGGTTCCTTCTGTCAAGGGGGGCTTAGCGCAGAAGGGGCAAACTCAAATGCCTTCGGAGAGCAGGCAAGTGAAGTGAATGACTGGAGTCAGTCAGTCGGAGATCAGAAGTGCTGGAGACTGTGACACTGGGGAGAGTGTAACCCAGTGGTTAGAGGGGGGCACTGCTACTCAGCTCCAGCTGATGGTCAAGAGGTGGGAATGCAGGCCTAATATTGCCAGGTATTACTTTTCAAGAAAAGCTAGAAATCCAGACTGTGAAATCTCATGATTTTTATGTGTGGCAACTGCTTCACACATTAAAAAAACCTTTGTGGGTCAATAAAACAGGCCAGCAGGCTGGATCCAGATCTGCAGCTACCACACTGTGGCCTCTAGATTCGTAGGTACGGTCTGCAGCCAGGGAGCCAGAGAGGAGCTAGCCTGCCCACAAGTGGATCAAATCCATTTCTCTGGCACTTTTAACACAGCGCACCTCTAACCAAACCAGCTACTGAACTACAGACTGGGTGCTTAGCCCGAAAAGCAGTGACCTGAGGAATACTGGTTTGACTTGAGTTCAGTCTCAGGGAAACCTTTTTTTATTTTTTAAATAGCTATCTGTAATAGACTGATTTCAAACACTGGGAAATCTATTTCCTGCTAAACTAGGAACCAACTTTTCATCCTACGAAAGAACATCTAACACCTCAGTGGAAAAAAACCAGGATGGTAAAAATCTATGCTGAAAGCTACTCACCTTGCACAGAAAGGTCAAAGGTTGCCAGCTCACTTTTGATCATTTCTTCACTGGATTTCATTTTGCTCTGTGAATTGGCCACTAAGAAGTCAAATTTGCTAATTTTGGGCTTTTCACTTTGAAACTCTCCAAAGTCATCTGAGCATTCTTTGGGGGTGTCGTGAGAAGTGCCGCTGGAAGCTGGGCTTGGACACGCGGCCTCTTGGCTCCACTCGGCGGCAGGCAGGTCCTGTCTTGTGAGCTCTTTACAGTCCCTGCTTTCACTTTCCCTTTGCTCACTGGTCTGAGGGACCACATCTTTAAAACTGGCAAAAGCTGGGAAAGAGGTCTCTGGAAGAGCATCTTCACCGGTGAAGGTTGAGCCTTTGGACAACGATGTCATGGTGATGTTTTCAGAACTGCCAAACGAAGTCTCTTTCTTTTGAAGAACTGAGGCAGCTGAGGAGGATCTGCTTCCTGCTGAGAGGACAAACGGAGAGAGTTTTCTGCCCTGAGATGCATCATCCCTGTCTGACCAGTCATAGCTCGTAAGTGTGCTCACTGCAAAATTGCTACTGTAGGTTCCAAAAGCAGCATATTTTAAGTCCTCTATATCTGAAAGGGAAATAAGACCCCACAATTAGAGGCAAGCTCACGATTTAGGCAAAATGCCTTAAACTCTGCAGAAGCAAAATGTCTAGCATATTTGATTAGTTTTATGCTATGTTGGAGTTAACTAAATTTAGAGCTTGTGCTAAAATTAAAGGAGTTGAGCTGTAAAATCTGATCTTTAAAAACCCACATTAGCCTTGACTTGTCATTTATATTTAGTTACAAAGAGTCATTTTCTTTGGATATAAAAATTACTGGAAAAAAGTTCATCTGCCAGTGTATATATTGTTTGATATGAGAATAGGGTCATTTAATAAATCATTCACTTATAAACTTTAAAATGTATTTGCAGTATTTCCTGGCTAAAACATGTCTTTTTTGCCTTGATCTTGGTAGAAAATGTTGCTTTCAAACATGGACATATGAAATGTACATAAGAAGCTAATTAAAAATTGACACTTTCTCAAAACTAAAATGAAAATATTGTTATCTAACTTTTAATCAATTATTAGGAGTTTCTGTCTCAAACCAGGCCAAATTTGAAATTTTAATTAAGCAGTTACTTACCTAGTTGTTATTTTGGTCAATATGGACATCATATTCCTGTGATGGAATATGAGGAAAGAAAATCAATCTAATCTATGTTAGTCCCTAAAAGACAGAGTCAAAAGTCTGGGTCCTGTTGGGCTCTTGTTTCTCCTTCAACTATGTATCAGCCCCTCATTAAAGAAAAGAAAAAGAAAGAAATGCTGGGGCAAAAGACTCATGTTACATTCTTAAAACATGTTTAAATAATTTAAGAGGTAGCATAAAGCAGCAGAAAGAATGTAGGTTTTTGATTTACACAGACCTGGGTTCGAATCCCAGCCCTGCTATGTACTACTTGCGTGGCACTAGGCAAGCTACTTAATGTTGTTTAGCCTTGGTTTGTTACCTGTAAGATGAAAACACCACGCACGTGGAAGGTCTGTGTTGTGACAACTAACAATAATGGATGTCAAGGACCCAGGGCTCTTGGTAAGCAATACATAACAGCTGTATTTGTAGAGCACAGTGGCCATCAGCCTCAATTTGACATTTAGTTGCCACTTTAGGGGTTAAAATGAAATTATTTCAAGGTAAAAATGAAACTATTTCAAGGTAAAAATGAAATGTCCACTCATCATTTTAGTGGTCTTACTAGAGAAACTTTCTTGTCCATGTTAGAAAAATCAAAACCAGCTGAGGCTAGCTCAGTACACGACGGGCAGCAGGTGGAGAAGCTGCCTTTGCAGCAGCACCGTCCGTTCGGTCTGGCTAGCACACGTTTAGTGTCATCTCAGTCACTGCTGTACACGCGGAAAGGAGGCCACATGCAAGGCTCCCTCTCTGATAACCACAAGCATGGTTTACAAAGAAAATGCTCAAAAGTTTTGTGATCCAGGTTTCCAAAACTAAGTCAACAGGCGAGCCACACTGGGTCATTCTGCGTTTCACTGCACTGCTACAAGAGCTCAGGGACTCCTGACACTTCCACGGCTCTTCTAACAGCGTGCCCCACTTCTCTGCCCAGCCTCTCTTTTTAAACCCTGTTAGGGAAAGGGTACTAAATTAATAATAAAGCTGGAACACCCTAGATGTACAAAAAGGCCAACCAGTGAAAAGCTAATAACTTTCACCAAACAACAGTATATTCTAAAATTCTGTAGTACAAATGGTACCCTTCAAATCTGGCTTACTAAACAGGAGGAAAAAAGGTTTAGGTGAGAAATGTATAATTTCAAATGAATGAAAAAAACTTTAAGCAAAACACTTAGTCTCTGGTGGTAGTGTTTTGTCTTCCCCACTATTTAAAAGGGATCAGAAAGCACCCTGATTCAGATGAGGTGAAATTCAACCAACAGGCAGTTGCAGTTAAACAGAAGACTAGTCTTCCAGGGGTATATTCAGAAGAATGTTTCACATAACAGATATTTTTATTATTAGACCCTATCAGAAAGCTCTTTGGGGAAGTTATATTATGAACTGGTCCCAGAATCTCATCTACTAAAAGAGCAGCAATTTTTCTAGATACCAAGGTAAATTTAATGAAAAGTTAAACTCTAGTTTAAACATCACAACCAGGTTGTAATGGCAGTAAAAAGACCCTTTTGCTCAACTATGCAACAAAGAAAAAAAACCCCAGAAATGACTGTAGTGTAATCACGTAAAAGGCATTAAAAGAAATAAGGAATTACCTTAGCTGACAAGTATTTTTTTAATGCTACTGGTCTTTAACAAATCTTATATTTTATACTTTAAAAAATAATGAAAAGTAAATATACAGGATATACTAAAATCAAGCCTCAAGGTTGATTTTTAAATTTTACTTTGCTTATTTATCGGTTACTATAGTGTAAAAAAATTTACTGAAGTGCGATTCATTTGAACACATAAGGAAGTAATAAAACTGATATTGGGTTGGCCAAAAAGTTGGTTTAGCCCTGGCTGGTGTGGTTCAGTGGATTGAGTGCCAGCCTATAAAAAAAGGGGTTGTCCCTGGCTGGTGTAGCTCAGTGGATTGAGCGTGGGCTGGGAACCAAAGTGTCCCAGGTTCAATTCCCAGCCACGGTACATTCCTGGGTTGCAGGCCATAACCCTCAGCAACCGCACATTGGTTTCTCTCTCTATCAATCACATTGATGTTTCTCTCTCTATCTCCCTCCCCTCCCTCTCTAAAAATAAATAAATAAAATATTAAAAAAACAAACAAACAAACAAAAAAAAGGGGTTGCCAGTTTGATTCCTAGTCAGGGCACATGCCTGGGTTGCAGGTCAGGTCCCCAGTTGGGGGCACAGGAGAGGCAACCACATATTGTTGTTTCTCTCCCTCTTTCTCCCTTCCTTCCCTTCTCTCTTAAAATAAATAAATACAATCTTAAAAAAAAAAAAGACTTCACATAAAAAGAAGTTCACCTAGTAGTGCTTAGTTGTCTTTAACTTCATTTGAAACAATTTTGTTAGACTGTATTGTGACAGCTGTCATGTAAATGTGCATTTAAAAATACTTATCAAAATTGGTGAATTTTTGTGCAGTCATTTTAATATTGAAGCTGGAAGAAGATATGCAACATTTTCGGCATACTATGCTTTATTATTTCAAGAAAGGTAAAAATACAACTGAAACACACAAAAAAGATTTGTGCAGTGTATGGAGAAGGTGCTGTGACTGATCAAACATGTTAAAAGTGGTTTGCAAAGTTTCTTGTACTAATGACATTTTGGCCAAATAATTCTTTGCTTTGGGGCTATCTTACACATTGGAAGATGTTTAGCAGCACCCCTGGCCTCTACCCAGTACAAGCCAGTAGCAGAATATAGCCAACATACTCAAAATATCCAAATCAATAAAATTATTGATGAAAATGAAAAATGTGTCTTTGGTTTTATGGAAAAAACCATACCGACTTTGTGGCCAACCTAATACATAGGAATGTGAAAGCATTGTACGTATCTCTCCTACACCTGCGCATTTACAAACAATATAAAAACAGAGTAGTATTTCCCAGCATGGTGAATATTAGTAAGCCATGTTCTAAGAAAATGAGGTAAATCAGTTCACTGAGGGTAGGTTAAACCAAGAAAATTCCTCATTTCCCATGTTAACTGTTCTACATTTTCTAGGCAGTCAGATTATATCTATCTGTATTATGGGCTTAAAAATATTACAGATTCTGTAAGACCTACAACATAAGTGATGGAAGCTCTATCTGGGAAAAATAATATGAAATAACCCACAGTTTATTTTGTAATCACTGAAGTTGCTACAGATGGGTTTTCCGTTTGATAGCTGAATTCTGAAAATTGCAAGAGAAAAAGGAGAAAGAGAACAGAGAATGGATACAATAAAATGAACAGAGAGGCACTACTGTATTTCCAATTCTACGGGGAAACTCAGAGTCTGTGCTAGGTTGAACTGCAATTGCACACATAATAGGCCACAGTGTGTGCTTTAATACATGTATTTGTTTCCACCCAGGAATGTCCTATCACAAAGGCCAAAGGAATAAACTGTACAATCTGCTTTTCATCCTGTATCTCAAATCACAACATGGACTTCTCGCTTATGCTAGTAAGTAACTCTATCAGTCTGTTCCATAACCTCCATTAAAAGCCCCTCTGAACCGATGCTGTACATGAAAACAGGCATTTCTTGGAACAAAGAACGTGAGCTGCCACTGCAGGACACAGAGGCCATGCCAATTCCCCTGGACATTTTCTAAAGCTGTGAAGCATATGCCCAGGTGATTAAGAGTTACACAGGCTTTTGAAAAAAGGGGTTTGGAAAAAAGAAAGGAGATACATGTGCAAATTCCACTATTCCCTAGTATTTTATAGAACAATAAAAATGGTCGATGGACTCAGGAAGGGTCTTTGAAAATAATTATGTATCTTTTAATTTTCAATGCCAATTTAATCCAAATTTCATTTACCAAAGCAAACCATGAACTATTTATACATTTCAGCTTCTTTCTACCCTGGCCCTATTCATATTTACATTCTCTATTAATTACAGAACCTGGTCTGACTAGGTCCTGTAAGTCTCCGACACTCTCATAGGTGTTGCTGAGGAAAGCAGGAAAATACTGTTGTCTAACTGCTTTCCAGTGTTCTCTAGTTGGCACAGCAACCCCCATGCTTCTTCTGTACTGGCTCACACACATCTCTGCCATGCTCTGCCTGCTATCTGTACGCACCTTCAGTTTTCCATGTCAGTGCTGCAAATTCAATAAAGAAAAGTGGTAATCCTGTGGGTATTTTAAGTCAGAGGAGGCCAGAAGGCCAAGAAATGGTGTCAGGACATACAGAGAGACTGCTCATGGTCATCATTAAAAATCTCATCAAAAAGCCCTGGCTGCTGTGGCTCAGTTGGTTGGAGCGTTGTCCCATAACTGAAAGGTTGCAGGTTTGATTCCTGGTCAGGGCACAAACCTGGGCTGTGGGTTCAATTACCAATCTGCGTCCATATAGGAGGCAACCAATCGATGTTTCTCTCACATCAATGTTTCCCTCTCACCCTTCCTCTCTCTCTAAAAGCAATGGAAAAAAAAAAAAAGAATGCCATCCCGTAAAGATTAAAAAAATTTTTTTAAATTCATCAAAAACACCCTAAATGAGCACAGAAAATGGCAATTACAGTTGGGGCCCTTTGGCTCTGCACTGGAGAGGGCGGCATGCAGGAGACCCTCCCATGCACATGGCCTTATTGTGCTCTCAAAGATACTAGGCCAGCTTATCAAAAGTATTCAGCTGGTGGAAAAACAAAGCTAGAAGCAGCTCTTTGAAAATAAAATAATATGCCCTGGATGGTGTGGCTCAGTTGGTTGGGGCATCATCCCGTAAATGGAAGGTTGTGGGTTCGATTCCCAGTCTGGGCTTGTACAATCCCTGGTCCTGTCACCCAGGGGAGGCAACCAATCAATGTTTCTCTCTTGCATTGATGTTTCTTTTTCTCCCATCGATGTTTCCCTTCCTCCCTTTCCAAAAAGCAATGAAAAATGTCCTCAGTTGAGTATAAAAAATTTTTTTAAATAAAATAATTTGATTCTTTCAGTTATTTTAGGATTTAGCCCAGGTTCTTTGATGTTACCAGTACCTTCGACATGTTCATTTGCTACTTTTAAAAATCAGCAGGGGTTTTAATGTGAACACTAGAGTGATTACAGAATATTCATATTGTACATTTGTATAATTTCTCAGGCACTGATGTATGAAGTCAAGCACTAGTGGTATCTTCCTTCACTTGGTACTGGGCTAAACAAAACAGTATTTTCTTATTTGTTTAAACCTAGAGCATACAGTTCTTTAAGTCTTCATTGCAAGTTTATATTATTATATTATTAAAACTCCCCCCCCAAAAGTAAATGTTACCCTGGAAACATTAATTGTTCTATCTGTGGATGTGATTATATTACATGCAGTTACATTTAGTCATTTTCTGCAGCCTGCTCAGGTAACTGCAGAAAGTAGGTAAAATAAAACAGTCCCAGACAGACCAATCTAGCATTAGATAATTCCACCGACAAGGGACTGGCTTAGTCAAAGCTTCCACAAGACTGGTCTTATACATGGTGCCAGAAAGTCCTAAATTAAGGGCACCTAGTATTATCACTCTAGATGGAGCCTACACTAAAATCTCTGGTGGCCAAATCAGTTAGCAGTACGAAAGGTTTTTGAAACCAAGTATTATCAACTTTCTAAAGCACTGTGCCCTAGAATACGTATTTTAAATGGCAGAACCAGCTTTTCTTAATCTAAACCCAAATGTGCAACTTTTTTCTTTCTCAAATGGCATATTTCAGATAGTACAACTGATCTCAGGAATGCTATTAAAATCCTCATCTTCAATGGTTTAATTTCCTTTCTGCCTCAAATTTTAAAAAAGAACAAAGACCTAAAGCCTCATACTGTAAGAAAAATGTAAAATTTAAATTTTAAGCCATAGAAACAACCCCCTTTTGCCAAGGTTTATTGGTCTTGGGTTTCTGGTCTGAATATAATAACACACCCAAGATTTTTTGCTATTATTATACTTTAATACGGAAAATTTTCCCCCAAATTTGGCCTATTCTTGTTAATTTTTATGGATCTTCCTAGAATTCTTTTCTTAAAAATGGAAATGTTTAAAGTCTTCTTCTTCTGAGAACCTGCTTTATGGACTACGTGAAAAACAACTGAGCACGGCTGCACGGCCCATTCTAGAGTGGAAAGAGAGTGCGCCCTGCAATGAGAGGATGCTGCACCCGATTTCCACTCAGATCGAACTCAGCCCTGAAGACTTCCTGGTGCTGGCACTGAACACTTTCCATCACCGAGATAGCAATTTAAATTCAGCTTACATTTACTGCGCTCAGAAGTCCATCTTAATACCACTTGTAATTTATTTTAAATTAAATTTACAGACATCTAATTATTAACAGATGTGTCCATCTTTCCCAACACTCAGCTCTTAGGTCTGTCCCCTCACCTCCCCCATCTCCTCATCACGAAACTCCTACTGGAGACAGGTTCTGCGATCTGTAGTGACCAATAAAATCTCAGGTTATTCACTGGCAGAAAGGAGTAAATTTTATAATATGTAAAATAGCATACAGTTTACACTTTAAAAATATTTAAAGTTATATTTTAACTCAGTGCCACGTTAAAAGCTTTTATCAGTGGAGTCATAAGGGGAAAGGCTAAAATGCACTAGCACTTCTCTTAGGAGACGGGTGTTTGCAGAAACAAAACAAAGAGGGGAAGCCTCTAACCAAAGGAGATGCTATTGCTTTACACTTGATATGGACCAGGGATTTCTTTGATCTAACCCTGAAAAAGTAAAAATTACACACATCCCCACACTTTCAAAATATGCCAAAGAATTATTTATTAACATAGGACTTACAGATCACAAAAGAGTTATACAGAAAAGCTGGAAAAGAAGTCATCAGAATAAGCATGCAGATCAGTATTTGCAGTGGAATATACCAAAGCAAGTTCGAAAAGGCACATTCACACAGAATATGTCTAACTTGAAAAAAAGACATCAGGAAAGCAGGCAAAAAAAAAGGTGCTGATTAAAATACAAAGATTTTCAACGTCAAAGAAGAGCTACTTTACAGGTAGTAGGTAGGTAGGTAGGTAGGTAGGCGGCTACAGAAGTCTTGCTAACCCTTTGAGTGTCACAGATGAAGGCAAGCTCTTGCTGCCTAGGAAACTAAATGACCTTAATGATGGCACGTGAAGATGCTTCCGTGCCAGAGAGATTAAATTTGGTGGGGGGACAAAAGCAGTCTACTTGAAATTATATGCAGCAAGGGCTCAAAGGGTTAAATGTAATAATATGCAGAGAAATCAGGCAATGTTATTAGCAGTATCTACCTTCCATACAAAGAATTATAGCAAGAGTTAAAGAGACAGTATCCCCTTCAGAGTTAGGTTAGGGTTTCTAAATAGGATTAGGTCCAGAGACAGTAGTCTACTACGTTTTATCCTCTCTTCATGAGCCCACTTCTACGTTCTCTAAAAAGTAACTTTAACCCTCAAACTAAGAGAGCAAGAGATACTGTGGTCAACATGAGGATAAAGAAAAACCAAATTCCCATGAAGTCCCTGCCATTTTCACTCTACCATACATTGATGCAGCAGTTCTGCCCAATGGCAGTACAGTGCACTGCTCAGGCGTCAACCCCTTTAACAACCGCTCTAAGGGGATACTGCTCCTTTCCACAGGTTTACAGATTAAAGGGAGGAAACAGTCTGCTTTTAAGAACATCCTCAAACTGAAGATACTTGGCTTGAACATTACAGGTTCCAAGCTGGGAATGTCCCAAACATACATAAAAGAACATGAGCACAGGAAATTGTTTTAACAGGTCAATCACAACAGACTCAATCCAAAAACCAATTTCCCCTCCCCAAATAAAATGGAAAAAAAAAAAGGAAAAGACATCCAAACCCAGATTAGACTCATCCATAAAGACATCTAGCTTGGCACTGTGAAAGAATATAGATTCACTTTCAGAAAAATAGCTTCTAATTAATAATTTCAGAGTCCAGAAGGCTAGTTTACTTGTTATGGGATTTTTAAATAAAAATCAAATATTGTTCAGAAAATGGAGCACTTTGCAACCAACTACAGTGGCTCAAGAAGCTCATACAAAAAAGAGAAATGAACAACAGCAAAATAAAATATATAGGAAACCACTTGCAGAAAAGTACAAAAAAAAGAAGTAGCCAGTCAGGGGCACAAGGAGCTCTGCAGACAGCCGCTGCACTAGGAAATACCTCGGTAGGTAGCAACGGGAACCACAATGTCTACGATAACTTGCTCCTGACTCAGCACCCTGTTTAAGGATACATCCAACACTGCAATAGCCAAAGGATAGATGCAATTTTGTTTTCTGCCTGCAAAAGTCATAACACTTTACAATTTCTGCCTGAATCTGTAAACTTGGAAGTGTGTTATGCGCTCCTCTCTAGTTAAAAAACAGCAACAACAAACCCTTCATATGCATAATAAATTTTCTAGACTAATACAGTAATACTGAGATATTTCTCATTATTAAAGGCCACAAAATAGGTTTATCTTTCTATATATATATGTATCAAATAACAAAACAAAATAAAAACTAGGACACTTGGGTTTCTAGTTTTTATGACGTAAGTTAAACTAGAGAATAAACTGCTACAATACAGGAAAATCCATACAGAATTTTAAGAGGGCTCCCTTGTAGTTTCCAACATTTTATGAGAAAGTGAGTAGTTACTCTATTCTACCATCTACAGATTTGTCACAGTTTAGTACTTCCAACAATAGAGTTAACACTGAAAACTTTACCTGAAGTCCACTAACAACGCATGCCCTCCTCTTTGCCAGACCCTGGAGCACGGCAAATCCACACACAAGCGCTTTCCCTCTCCTTCTCTCATAGGGACGTGGCAAACTGCAGTACAACTGGCTAGATATTCTTACTTTATTGACCTAACAAGAGTCACTTTCTGTAGACCAAACAGAACACTATATTGGCAGCTGTCAAATATACCCAAGGGAAATAAAAAAGAGAGGGAAACACTGACCTCACTCACAGAAATGGAGGAACATTACTGACATTGCAAAAATCTTTATCAAAATTTCTGACAATGTACAGTTCATCTAGCAGTGGATTTTTATGTGCCTCTGACATCAAGTTGGTGTTAGATTTCAAAAATAAGAATATTTTGGCTATTTAAATATAAGTTCCATAGTATTCGTGGTATCCATACATCCAAGTATCCACAGACTGAAATTTAATACTGCTTTAAGGGGTCTGGTAACAAAGATGTTAATTATTAGAAATTCATGAAGGTTAAGAGCCAGAGCCTTACTTGTCTGTGAATTAACACCCGCAGAACCATCTTTGAAATCTACGTCATCATCACCAGAGCAATCTCACCAATTCCTCACCTGCAGCAGGAGGATGCTGGCCACTAACTGTTGGTAAATCCAAAGAGCTATCAGACATGACATGTTTAAGATCTCCTCCCACATCAGCCAGTTTCATGTCAAACTGCACAGAGAGTGCATCTTCAGAGTCCTCCTTGCCAACACTACTGCCACCAATGGAAGGGAGATCCAAGGACTTCACTGAAGCAGAGTCTTCTTTGGTGTGCCTGAAAGCCACTGCTTTCTCTCCCAGGGATTTGTCTGAGTTCATGGAAGAAAATTTACTGGAGTGGAAATCGGCAAAATCATCATCACTTTTTCCTGAAGGAGTGTTATCTTTCAGTTCTTCAGTGCCTAGCCCAGATCCTTCCAGAGAAAGCTGTTTGAAGACATCGTATTTGGTGGACGCAGCAGCTGAGTTTTGTCCACTCTTCACTATGTTGCTTGAGCTGCTGGTTAGAGCAACAGGACTAGCTTCCTCTTTAAGGGCATCATATTTGTCTTCTGCCTTTTGCTCAGATGAAACGGAGCTATTACTGAAAGCAATAAAATCTGCAAAGTCATCCTGCTCCCCAACAGATGCTGGACTAGAATATTCCCCAAAAAGGTTGAATTCTCCAAAATCATCAGCCAAACTAGAAGATTTAGTTGCTGCCAACGCTGGCGTGGCTGCAGCCGATCCTATTGACTGTGCTCGTGTAGAAACAGATTTTGATGCACTAAATGCAGGTGAAAAAGACAACAGTTTCTCACTGCTGCAATTAACTGATGAAAACATATCTAAATCTGCTAAGTTCAGAGGAGTTTTCATTTGTGCTTGTGGTTTCTGCTGTATAGCTCCTGAGGGGAAGGTGGCTGGGAAAGTTTTGTCTTTTGTTGGTGGCTCTAGTGGTGATATACTGTCGGCAGTTTTAAAATCGGTGAAACCATCATCAGTCCCTGCAGCTCTGAATTCTGCGAAGTTTTCTCCTGAAAGAAAAAACAGAGTCAAATAACTCAGAATGCTGAGCTGAAAACAACGTGATGCACAGCACAGTAAATGACAAGCATACTTCCACAGACGTTTCCCTTACCGACTTGACATAATTTAGCTACAGTTTAAACCCTACCAAATACCCTTTACAAGCTACATATTTGTCTCCACACTGAAGGCTAGTGATATGAAAATAAAAACCAAACCGAGAGCACCTAACAGTGTCATTTTCATTCGCTCCCTTTGGTGTGGCGATAAGTCTCCCGGTGCTGGACCCTTCAGTTGGCCAAAAGCACTGCTTGCAGGACTTTTCTCACTGTGGCTGCCCACCAAAGGCGCAAAACAGAATAAAAAGTTGGTGTTGAAGAGTCATACTAAAAGAGTGACCCTTTAAAGATAAAATGTGTTACATGGTGATCAATCAGGAAAAACACATCACAGGTACCAATGAAATATTATGAAAATATGAAAAACCCTGCATCTAATATTAAGGATGTACAACCCTTTGTTTAATTTGGCATGTTGAGCATGTAGTTAGATACTAGTTGTCTTGCTCAAGTATATGGAGGAATTAATTTAAAGGGAGCTTTGATGAAAACCTTTGAAAAGGTATCTACTTATTTGTAAAGCATTCCGGCCAAGGCCACACTGTGAAGCAGCTTCTGCCTATATTCTCCAACACAGAAAGTTAAGCTCACAAAAAAATCTGTGAGAACTTGGGGTTTTTTTGAAATCAGCCACCTCACTGAGCACTTCTTTATTAAAATTTAAAGGGATCTCAATACACACCAACTCTATTATTTATTAAAACTTTCAAAGAATATGATTTAAACTTTAGCTTATACTGTGCTACTCTGAGGATGGGATTATGTCAGAATTTTTTATTAAATTTTTTTAGAGAAAACAGGTATTAAAGTAGTTCTCATAAATATTTAAATAGACTCAGTTAGGATACTGATAAAAATCTGGAGCCGTGATTCTTATTAGGTTTTCTATTCTTTATTATCATAGTAATGTTATCACTCACAGGTATGAGACTGGGATGCAAATGATCTTAGTTTTCCAATGGTATCTAAAGGTCTTCCATAAAATCTACTAGGTAATACCAGGTAATGAAAACCAGAGATAAACCAAATATAAATATTGTTATACCAATATCACTCATTCAAAAATATGAGTGCCATTTCTAAAGAGTTATAAATTAAAATAAAAGCTTTAATGTCCTCATCCACTTTTTAAATTCTATTTATCCCTAAAAATGAGATATAGAAGTATATAAACTATAAAAATGTATTTAAAGCCAAAATCCAATTCGTAAAATTGTCACTGAAACAATATAGGCTTTAGTGGATCGTGCATGTAAAGTGATATACACATCTATATATCAAGTGGAAAAGCATGGAAAATAATGGAAGCTGGTTTCTTTTCCTAATCTGAGAAATGTAACCAACTCACCAGCAAAACTCATCAGCACAGAGAAATCCATTTAATATCATGAGGGAAACTTTAGAAAGAAAGGAAAAGCTTTCAGAATTCCTCATTTTATGTTCATAAGATGTACCACAAATAAAACTATAGTCAATTTCACAAACTGACAGGAGAAGCAGATGTAAAACTTAAAAAAAATTACCCTAGTATTTTAGGCAAATATATCACTGATATTTATATTATTTCTGTAAATGAAAAGGTAACAAGCAACCAATTTTTGTCACAGCCAAGATTTTTGATGTGTTGCTTTGAAATATCTGTGAAATTGACAAGTTTTGCCTTATTATTTTTAAAAAGAAATCACCACAGCAAACTAAACTTACTGATGAATTGTAAAGTTTTCCATTGGAAATGTAAGCTGGGTGAAAGGGTTAAAAAGAATGAAAATGGGTAGGTTTACAAGTTCAAATACAAAGGGGACTTGGGGGCAAACAATTTAGTTACAGTTATTTGAAGCTTGCAAATCAGCAGGTCCACTAAGCATATTACTTCATGGGTAGCTTTTCAGTTAACTTCTGAATCCTCCTAAGTTTGCCTCTCAAATTGCTACTTTTTAGGCCCTAAAAACATTTCAAAAGAGATCACTTTTTGCTAAAACTTCAGTAATTCTCACTTATCTATATAAAACATTTTCCTCATCAACCTAATTTATGGTTTAAACTGGAGGGTAGAAAAAAGGAAATATTATTAAACTTGTTTTGTAACCTAATAAACTCGAAGCTCTAAATACAATACCATAAGATTCTTCATAAAATCTAAGTCACTGAGGTATTTTGTCAGGCTAATGTATTTGTTTTTTAAATTTTGTATTTATTGATTTTAGAGAGACAGAGAAACACTCACTTGTTGTTCTACTTATTTATGCATTCATTGGTTGATGATTTAATGTGCCCTGACCTAGGGTTGAACCTACAACCTTGGTATATCGGGATGATGTTCCAAACAACTGAGCTACCAGCCTGGGCCAGTGTATTTTTAATGCAAGTAGAATAAAATATGTTCTCCTAAAATAAACAAATTTGGCATTTCTGCTTGGAAGGCCATAGAGTTAAAGTTAAGATAGGAATGAAAGCAAGCACACAAAAATGGCAACACCAATCTGGGATTCTGTTAACAAAGTACCATAAAGCAGGAATAAGGTGCTGCTTACATTTTGGTGGCACTTCTGTCTTTCCCAGGAATAACATACATATCATATGAGCATTAATAACATACTACACAAAGAACTCTGATATTAAATCATGCTCTTTACTCCAAACTTGCCTTGGCCCAAGAGTTGATGAAAGCATTGCTAAATGACAAATTAACAAGGCAAAAGTTCCTCGGGTTTATCTTTGTACTCCTAGTACCTAATATAGGCATGGAGGAAGAAACAGTTATTACATTCTAAAGGCTTGAGTGAAACACTAGGAAACATTTCTTAGAATATAAGAACTGTAAGGGACTGAGTATCCAGAAGAGGTAAGTCTCCCTTTTTAGAGATATTTAAGTAGTACACTTTCTACTTTAACTTTCACATATACTTACCTTTCCTATGTTTTCTTCCCACCCCTCCCACTCTCACCCTAATCCCCTAGGCAGAAAGGTGAGAACAATTGGTTGTTGAAGGATATTCCAAATTTGAGCAGAGTACACAGAGGCAGAACGTGGTACTGTTCCCAGGAAGAAATCCTCATTAGAGTATACAAATTTCATAGCATTTGCAGTTAAGCTTTGAAGAACATAATGTGGCGTATGGATTATCTATAAACCCTACACATCAGGTTTACAGTAGTATTTAACAACAAGCATAACTTTTAGGCTTTAAAGATACGGCTCTCACATTGTCATTCTACATACCTTTCCACTCTATTTGAGCCCTTCTATCAGAGGTGGAAGCCAAATATGCACAGAAAACCCTTTTACTTCACCTTATTAAATTATAACCAATTCTGGAAATCTTGAAAAGTAAAAGACTGGTTGCTGCCTTCTGTACAGTCCACAGATCGCTGCACTGCCAGCAGCTGAAGTCTTAGGGACATTAGAGTAACTGGAAGTAGTCACAGCCCTCCATCTGATACAGGAGTCTAATGTGGCTGAGGGCTTCTGGTGAAAGGGAACACTATCTTTAGAGGAAATCAAATTGCTCTGGGGTTTGACCTAAATTTTAGAAAATAATTTGCAATAACTGAACCACGTGTCACCTCCTTGTAATTTCCAGAGACACAGAAAAAAAAAACCCAACAACAAAAAAACCCACACACAGTAAAATAAAGGCACTTTCAATATTACTGAAAGAATCTTCAAAGATCTCTTTTATCAGAAATTGAAATAATTTATTCGTTTAAGGAATCAAAAACTTACCTGAAGATTTACTCTCTGCTGTCTGTTCAAGTTCCCTGAAAGCACTATATTTATCGCCAGGCTCTATGATGAAAGCACAGAAGCTCAAGTAAGGTTAGGAACCTTGAAATCACAACTCAAGAAAGTAAGGCAGACAGGGTTAGCCGAACATACTTAGCATGTGATATAAGCATTGTACATTTACCATAGAAGGTCCCCACTAACAACAAAGATTTACATTCACAGGTTTATGAATTCACCAACTGCTTTTACCTCCAAATGTAACAGTATTTTCAGAGGGCTTGTCAGTTGCAATTCCTTTGAACACAGCATATTTATCCATTGAAGCTGATGCTTTAGTTCCAGAAAGTGGCATCAACAAAGAAGGGGCACTGAAAGGGGAAAAAATATTTCTTAATGACGAAAACACCGAATCCTTTCCTTATCAAGTAGGAGCTTAGAATTAAAGTGGCAAACAGTTACCTGGTTAAAACTTATGACTCCCTGCTTTAAAAGTTCGAATACATATACCACAAATGATAAAAATCAACATGCTAGCCCTGGCTGGTGTAGCTCAGTGGATTGAGCGTGGGCTGCAAACCAAAGTGTCGCAGGTTCAATTCCCAGTCAGGGTTCGTGCCTGGGTTGCAGGCCATGACCCCCAGCAACCGCACATTGATGTTTCTCTCTCTCTCTCTCCTGCTCCCTTCCCTCTCTAAAAATAAATAAATAAAATCTTTAAAAAAATCAACATGCTTTTTTCTTGAAAAAATATATTAAAACAACACCCACCCAATACTTCTCTTGATTGTTTGAAGAGGGGTCAAGATCCACATTGACCATCTAACCTCTTTAAGCCATAAAAACAATTGGAATGTCATTGGAAATAGATGATCATAGAATGATGACCTACTGCAATTTTAACTTTAGGTCCATAAAAGTGAACTGCTCCAAATAGGTATCCCCAATATTTTAAAGTAAATTATGTGATCTATCCTTAATGCAATTATTCTCTAAAATGGGGTCACAATGAAGAGGTGGAATAGTTGAGATAAAAATCTATTTATGAAATGTTGTTCAAGCTAAGAATGTTGCTCCTCTTTTGATCATATTGCCTTGCTTAATGACAAAAGTTCACACATCTGATAGCAGCAGTAGAGTTAATACAATTTGCATTTTTGGAAGGATCACACAGCGGTTCCCAGAAGCTATCTTTTCAGCAAAACAACAATCACTTCAAAATTAGATGAAGATACTTTTGCTTGTGGTCATATTTCTCCCAGGATGGAAAAACAGTATAATGAGTAGTATCTTGGTGGGTAATTCTTGGACGGCTTACCACACACTATAAAAGCACTGCTTTTTTCCCTCCCCTCTTATCAGACACAGGCAGCTCCCAGGAAGAACAACCTTTGCATGTGAATGATTATATTTCACCACTAGTTTGTGTCACTCAATATATCAGACACTGCAAGTTATATAAATGGATTTCTATTGAGTTCTTTGCCCTGGAGCAAAAATCTTTCCACAGTCATTTAAATCTTCTTATCAGTGGCTTCCAAGCAAGGTAAGAAACTCAGCTCTTACACATACATGTTAATGGGGGCCCATAGTGCTTTAGGACTTCTGTTATCAAACATTATCATTTCACATCACTACCAAACAGCTGCTACATATTTGGTCTTGACGAACAAGTCCTCACCTGTATGTTGTAGGCGAATTTTTAAAAGTTCCATAAGTAATTAAACTACAATTCATTGAACAGAATGTTACACAGGAATAAAGGTAATTAATGTCTTAGGAAAAAAACACAAAAGTGAATGATCTATTTGTTTTACATGACCTGTCAACTTTAGCTATGGTCTTTTAGAGTCCTTTGGTCAAATCTTCTACTAAATGTGACATTTAATTGAATATTATGAATTTCAAAATTATTTTCAGAATTGGAGGAAGAAAAGAGGATCTTGTTGACTGAACTCAATAAAACAGCTCCATTAAAAAAAAAACCAATAACTCAGACTGGGATTTTATACATATTACAAATAACTCATTCTGGTTCATTTTCTGAATGCTTTATTTAACAAAACAAACTATAATCACCATGGAAATGTTTACGCTAGTTATAAAAAGTAGTTAACCTGTTCTAAACATAAGAACAGTTATTCCTACTGTGTAATACTCTGGTACTCAGTGACAGGCATATTGTTTTAAAATTTAAAAACCTTCCTTATACTGAAAGATAAGACTGTAAAGAATTTGGCTATGAAAAAAGGATTTTGCTTTTTCTCTAGTGAATCCATTTGTGCTTTGCAATTATTCCTGCTAAATACATCCATTTAAAAAGCAAAAAAACCCTAAGCAACTCAAAACTCCTACACCTTAATCCTATCCCGTCTTCTTCAGTGCCCCATGTCTGCCTCACTTATTACACAAGGCTTCCCCAGTGCCTGACACACTCAAGCATTTTCTGAATGGATAAGTGAATGATGTTGCTGTCTTTAGATCCCTTTTCATGCTGGTGCAAGCACTATTTCTCCTTTGACTTTGGCAATCAGTTCAACACTGGCTCCAACTGATTCCTCAGATACACCCTTTTCAGTACTGGTGATTCTAAGGCCCAGAGCACCTCTCACCATCTCACAACAGGATTATCATGATGGCAGCTGAATTTATCCCCCACACAGTAGCAAGAATCACTTTCACCATGCCACATCTTAGTTCTAAAATGATTTAGAGATTATGTCACAAATCATAAGACATCCCACAGCTGGTGTTGCCCTTATTAATGTCATTTTTTCCCAGACTAAAAATACTCTCCAATCCAGCCTACTTCTAACAATTTACTTTCCTTCTCATGTTCTCTGACAAATAATGTCCATTTTTTGCTTAAAAATACCACCCAAAGTGGTCTCACCTAGGCTTAGCTATTCATATTGTGATATAACAAATATCCTTTTAAAATAAACTCACAATATGGAATATAGACTATCATAAACTAGGGAAATCATTATATATGCACACACACACTTAAGGACCAATTCTAAGAGAGTTTTATCACATAACATAAATACCCAGATAAAACTACGCTTCACCCTGGCCAGGTGGCTCAGCTGGTAGGAGCACTGTCCCATAAGTCAAAAGGTTGTGGGTTCAATTCCTGGTCAGGGCACATATCTAGGTTATATATTCAATCCCTGTTTGGGGTCCGTATGGGAGGCACCCTCCCCACCCTCTTTCTCTCTCTAAAAAAACAAAAAACAAAAAAACATGTCCTTGGGTGAGGATTAAAAAAATAAACAAACAATACTGAGCTTTTTGAGAGCAGGAATTGTTTTTTGCTTCTGTATTTCTAGTGCCCACTTCAATATCTGGCATATAGCAGATACTAAGTAAATGCTGCTGAATGAGTAAGTAAACAATGATTGTGGATTCTTAAGACAGGAGCAAAATGTTTTCATGCAATGAAAGCATGGAAGTAGTCAAGTCGGAGCTGAGTAAGAAAATCTGTGAAGACTGGCTGTGTATGAAAGTAAACTAGGACGGGGAGACAATGCCACACAAAATTGCTAATATCCCACACAGCTCAGGTCTGGCCTCCATCTTAAAACTTTTTATACCTCAATTTTAATTTCATGTACTAGAGGTTTTTTCCCCAGAGGAATGAACCACCCATTTGATTACTTCAGTTTATAATTTTCATACTGCAATACAATCATCCAACAAACCTTTATTAAGTACATATAATGGGCTAAGTACTACATATGTAGGCACAAAAGATTGTGTTTGGGTACTTACAGCCTAGTGAGGAAAATAGTCTGGTAACCCAGTAATTATAATTAGGGCACAGATATTCATAAGGTACCTTAACAGGAGAGAGGAAGGGGCCCTTAACTCATCTTGGAGATGGGGACTGATTCAGAGGGGCTAGTAAAAACTTCCTATATCAAACCAATTTTTGAAACTGAACTAGAATTAACCATAGAAAGAATTTCAGACTGAAGAAAATGTAATATAAAAGGCTAGACGCTTGAAAGAGCGTGGTAAGTCTGAAGTCACCCTGGCATGACTGGAGGACAAGCCGCGGGCAAACGGCAGCGGTAGAGAGAGTAGGCAGGAGCAAGATCACACACGGCCTTTCCATGCCAGGCAGAGGTGACAGAGCTGGTGGTGGTAAAGAAGAGAGGAGGGAGCCAAATAACATGTTTCTGACTTGGTGACCGGATATGGTGACATGATTCACTAAGAAAGGAAATGATGAATTAATACATTTTTATTTAAGTAGGAAATCAATGATTTAACTTTTTGCACGTGATTTGAGATGCCTCAGGCCATTCAGATATGTTCTAGATAGTAGAACATTCTGTTCAAAGGAAGAGATATGAGAAAGAAATATTATTCTGTGTCTATCGGGTTAATATGCATGCTGGTATAGAGGGCTTGGAAAGCCCTCAGTAGTAAAGCTCTCAGAGTAAAGCTCTCAGTAGTTTAAAGTCACATCCCCTCATATGTTTTTTTTCTATGTGTCATTTACATTTGTTTGATATATTCTTGAAATCAGAATAATTTTTTTCCCTAATTTGTAATTCTCTATAATGCCTATCCCTCAGTTCTTGGGACAGTGTATACACAAGAAGTATTGACTAAGAGATAATCAATTCGTTAAAACAGAAAAATGAATGGATCTGCACAAATAGGAACATAAGAGAAATGGAATATGTATCCTGACAAAAGCAAGTTCCAAAAAACCTGAAGTAATTCACATTGCTTAATCAAATTCTGGTATGTTCCACTCTGCAAAAGAAGTATCTAAGTATTTTTTTTTTAAATGTTGAAACGGTACTGAGAATGTACTGAATCAGTTACTGTACCTAAAAGTTAAGCTAGTACATAAAACATCAGAGAAGTGTTTGTGCCACTGTCTGTGCAAACAAACAGAAATATGAAGGCCTAAAAGTCACTGATGTCAAATATAGGAGAAATGTGAATAATGATATTTGGTCTTTTGAATTATGATTTCTATGGAAAATGAATAGTACACTTATTGCAAAAATATCAAATTACGTGCTCTAGTCTAAAAAACTTTCAACAGTCGAAGACCTGGTTCTAATGTAAGAACTTGAAGTCATCACTGCAAAGGCACATTCTGCTCTAATACATCAGGTTTAGGACAGGCAAAGAAAATACTGGCAAGCAGGTGTGTACCAGGAGGGACTGGAAGGCGTTGACGTCTAACATGGACAATGCAGACCAAAGTCTGAAGAGTGAAACTACGAATAAAGAGGGATTAATCAGGAAAACCATGAGAGTAGAGAGTCCTAATCCTCTTACACTTAGGGTTTTCATCGAGGATGTCTCTCCCTCAATTACTAAATACCATGTTAACTATATTCAACTCTTTTGTACCTGTTTCCATGCTGGGAATTACTTGTTTTTGAAGAAGCAGACAACTCTTGGAAATCACTGAATGAGTCATCAAGGGATCCTGGCTTAGAAGCATCTTGAAAATCTTGGAAGTCATCTTCTTCTGGTTTTACCACCTAGGTTTAAGAGGACATTTAACTAGAAAGCATGAAATTGATAAAATAACAAATCTCCAATTGTCAATTTCTAAGACTGCCTTTTAAATTCTACATTTAGGTATGACTACTTAATATTAGAAGAACACCCTTTAGATAAAATCAACTCAAAGACTTAATTAAGGCAGGAATCTTACATTTTTAGATACTCTGATGTACACATGGTAAAAAGCTGATTTGAAAGGCTAACCTGTACAATTTTTAAATAGCTAAGTCATTTAATAGATTACTGAGAACCTCTCATCTTTCAAAAACCATTTTATACATGTCTGTAAATTTAAAGTGATAAAAGCTTGTTATAACCCATCACCATATAAAGTTAACAGTGAAAACTGACTCCAAATCCCATGCTCTGGGAGTGAGTACTGCTAACAGTTCATTGTTTTATAGAAAAATGAACTTATATCATTATCCGCTTTAAAATGTAATTAAATGACATGGACAGCTTTTCAATGCAGTATATCTAGATCTATCTCATTCCTTTTCATGATCCATTTACCACTGTAGGAATGAACCAAAATTTATATAACCTTCCTTTTCCTGATGGACAGTTAGCTATTTTTATATTTTTATGCTAACAAACAATGCTATAGTAAATATCCTTTTGTATCTTCGCTAATTTCTGTGGGACAGATTCTTAATAGCATGACTGCTAGGTCAAAAGATACAGAATTTTGATAGCTACTGCTGCCTTCAAAAAGGCTGTACCGATAAACTCTTTCCCCTACATCTTCACTGACATTAAATATTATGTTTTTAAAAAATGTTTGCTAATCTAAGAAATGAAAAATAAATGGAAGTGCCTTAATTTCAGGTTTAACAGCTTCCTCAAGAGATACAGCCTAAGAATTTAATTAACTTTATTATTCTGGATGTTTAAAATATGTTTACTATAAAGAACTATGAACTTTTAGCCAAAACTCAAGTATCTTAGGGCTTAATAAATTGTCTCATGATTTTTAAATAATGAAAAATTAAATTTTGTATTGTTTTAATACTGTTTAATTTTTACCTTCAGAGTCCATCATAATCCAGCAGTCCTCTCTGTATCTCTGTTTTTCTTTTAAAATATTTTATTTATTTATTTTAGACAGAGGGGGAGGGAGGAAGAAAGAGAAGGGGAGAAACATCAATGTGTAGGATGCCTCTCTGGTGGTCCACTACTGGGAACTGGGACTGTAACCCAGGCATCTGCCCTGACTGGGAACTGAACCGGTGACCCTTCCGTTCGCAGGCCAGCACTCAATCCACTGAGCCACCCCAGCCAGGGCTTCTTGGTATCTCTGGAAAAAAAGTTGCCCAGATCCACTTTTAGGGATTATTTGGAATATGCAGCTTCTCCATTTACCTGATTTGCAGGGTAAGTTGGCATGAAGCCACTGGAAGCCTGGGCTGCAGCTCCCCCCACTGGTCCAACAAGGTTAATGCCCATGACTGGCTGTCCGAGGTTGAGGGGCATGGAGCCTGCAGGGCCTGAAGGCATCCCAGTGGGCTGATTCACTGCAGTAGGCAAAGTCATAGGAAAGCCACTTAAAGTTGGAACAGGAGCTGCTGGGAACTGGTTTAAAGCATCAGGACTTATGGCAGGAACACCCCTCTATACAGAAGGAAAATGAAAACATTTTAGAGGATCACAAACCACATACAACCTAAATCTGGCAAAGACAGACCAAAACGTAAAATCTGTAGCCTTGGTATAATTCCACTGTTAACTCTCCCAACTCATTAATTTGATACAAGAAAATAAATTACAAGGTTAATGCAAACCTAGTATTCAGCAAAGAAAGGGCCAATACATATCAATTCTGACATTTTTACACTCTGACAAGTTTGGATAATTTCCTATAACCAAATCATGATTACATATATTACACATGGTTTTATAATATATGAGAAATTAGTGACAGATGGAGAATGCTTTATCTATATCTAAGGAATTTTATTGTTATTTTTTAGCCTCACTTTAGTACATTATATGGGTATTGATTTTAGAGAGGGTGCGGGTAGAGAGGGAAAGAGAGAGGGAGAGAAACATCAACTGTTTGCCTCCCATACACACCCCAACCGGGGATCAACCCCACAACCTAGGTGTATGCCCTGACTGGGAATTGAACCTGCGACCTTTTGGTGTGTGGGATGACATTCCAATCAACTAAGCCACCCAGCCAGGGCTCTAAGGAGTTTTAAATAAGGACATAAAAGGACAAAGAGTAATTTCATCTATTGCTAACTAACTTTCAAGTTCAGAAGGGATATATATAGTCAGGCCAGAGGATTTTAGTGTATTGAACAGTCTTTAAACAAAGGAATATTTTGCTAGTGCTTCATATAAACTATACATTTTTGAAGTAATGTATCTTGAAAATGTTCTAAATTTCAATGTACAAGGACTTCTATGAGGTTGTAATCACAAAGGATTCATATTCTCCCAATTTATACTGAAAAGTTATTTGATCTAACTTAAGAAATTATGTCTACCTGTGTTACTGCTATCATGGCGAGAACAGTATAAAGTTCTTCTTTAGTAAGTTTGCCAGGTGTGGTTCGATTAGCTAAGGCCCATATCTGTCCAAGAGTTTCCCTGGGAAGTCCAGATGACATCAGAATGGGATAAAGTTTTGCAGTATCGATTCCAGTTGGAGTCATTGTGGTTTCTAAAATTTTCTTATAGGCATCTATTAAAGGCAAGACCAGATTAGAAACATAAATATATTTCAGCTGATTGATCTTTTTTGTTGTCATTGTTGCTTACACGAGAATAATCTTAAGTCACACAGCTTTAATAGAACCAAAACCACGTCAGAGTTTGAACTGCTGTCAAGATATTCAAGTGCAAATATCTAGCAGACAGTCGAGGTCTAGTACTTAGAAGAGAGGTTGGAGCTGGGTCCTAAAGATGAAGATTTGGGACTAAGGGTGAGAGGAAGTCTTACAATTAGTGGAAGATAGTAAAAACAGTAAAATGTATATGGTACAGGCAGATGCTTTGGAGTTAAAAAAGAAGCTGTAATGATGGTGGTAATAGTTTGAAAACAGCAGCTGGAAGCAAGATTTATACAAGTACCACCTCTTTCGTGCCCCGATGGCTATGGGAGGAAACATCACTGGGTAAGGTGCTATGAAAATAGAGCCTTCAGAGAAAATACAGTTTCAGTTAAGGTGAGGAAGCAGAAAAAAAGGGGGAGCTTTCATAAAAAAATGGAGCTTCGAAAGGACAAAGTGAGAAAGGCTATCAGAGACAAGGTTGCCATAAAACATACAGGATGCCAATACTGCATAGGATATACTTATACTAAACAATTTTTTGCTGTTAATTCAAAATTTAATTTTAACTGGATGTTCTGTATGCTTATTTGCTAAATCTGACAACCCTTGTTAGAGGAGTTTGGGGGCTGAAAGTGGGTAGGGGAGAGGTAGAGGAAAATGTTTAAAGCAGAAACTTTACACCTATGATTTAAATATGGATTGCAGGTTAACAGCCTGGTCATGACAACACATATTTTGGCGAGGAGATTCTATGTGCACAGATGTTTGGGAGAAAGAGAAAGAAAGAAATACAAGCTGGCAGAAAATGGACAGAACTCCAAAATACACAAGATCCAAATTTTGTCGGGCTTGAAGACAGAGAGGAAGAAGAAAAGATGCAAACTGTCTAATGGGTAGGTGGAAGCAAACCTATTATTTTCATGTACAACTGAAGTCCCATATCAGTTTAGGAAATTAGCCTTTCAATTCACGATTATGTGATTATGATATAAAGTAGATATTACCGGTTTCTTTCAAAAAGAAGTTCAGCTATAGGGATCTTGCATGAGTTTTATTTAATCAAATGTGGAACAACTTTAGTCTATAAACAATCCAGAAAACTGAAGATCTGATGAAAGTTTAGTTTACCTTTAGTTTACAAGGGGCTGGCAAAGTACAGCAAATACAACATTACAATTTACTAAGACTGATGAACATATTCTATTGTAATAGTCATTATTCTATACCCATCAACCATGGCTTAAACAGACTTTTTCTTTGTATCAGTTGAATACTATGACAAAATTTACCATAGTAAATTTTTTTGGCTCAGCAGTAGTAACGTACTTAAAGAAAAAAGTGAACATCGTCTGCTAGTGGAGAAGATCTGCTACCTGGTCTCTTAGTTCACATGCTATTACGTGACAAAAAAGTCATAGGAATATTTTAAAAATATTAACTAATCACCAAGAGTTCAGAAAATTGCATAACATATATTAGTAATACTCTTGATAACTTAATTATCTATAAAAATATTTTACGTCTTTTAAAGCATGATAAATCTACGAAAAATTTTTAGAAATAAAAGTACATGGCGGTCAATAAACATTAAAGCAAAACATCTGCCCTTCGCTCACATAGTTATTTCATAGATGAGGAAGCTTTAAGAAACATTAGACTTAGAATTCTAATTTTCTGTACTCCTTCAGAAAAAAAATAAACAAGGAAAGTTACAATTCCTTCTGCATATTTTATAACCATGACAGTAGTTACAACTACATTCACAACATTTAAAGCAAAATGTCCAGATGGGAATCTTGGACAAAGCTTTTATTACCTGGAACCAAACTCTCATTGCAAATCCAAGGAGGCATTCTGGGCTGCACAGGATCCTGTGAGGGAAATACTCCCACACCTACAGGAAGATAAGGAACATTATCTCGAGTATATAATGGTCTATTTAGGAGATGCGGGAAGCACACCGAGTCATAGTATTTTATAAAAAGAGCACAGGGTGGAGCCACCAAAAAAAAGTCACCAATACACTAAAATATTTGGTTTCTAAACAACCTCCTATACATTACTATGTCTTAAAGAATCTGCTAAAAAAAAAACCTAAGGTGTACCAAATCAATATTTTGAATCATACGAGACTTGCACCATCTCACATGTATTACAAATTAAAAGAAAAAAATAAAATAATCATTGGTTTAAAAATTATATAGTAAAAAAAGTGTAGTTACCCAGGCTTTACTTACAGCTTTTAATGTTTCTTTACATCTGATTTCTTTTTACCTGATTATGACACCACTGCCTTAGATATATAGGATTTTTGCTTTTTATTTTGTCCAATGAAATATCCTGCAAAAGTTTACCTCCTAGGCTGCCCACATTCTAATTCATCTCTGCAAGCTGAGTTTAGAACAATTCACCAACTTTTGGAGAGCAGTGTATCAGATTTACTTCTGAGAAGCAAAACTTTATTCTCATTGGTGACTTTTCCAGTTAAATTTAAACGTTTCAACCTTTATGGAAGAAGACAAAGTGAAAGAGGAGAAAAAGAGTTTTTATAAAATAAATTTCAGGAATGATTCTGATTTTAAAAACTATCAAAAATTTTTAAAAGGAATAACAGTTTATTGAAAGAATTCAGAGCAAAATCATAGGGGTTAATTGGAGAAAGGAATGCATTAAATATATTTTAAGCAAAATTTTGATTAGCAAAATCAAGCAGCATTCATTTTAAGATTAATGCTTAAGGTGTTAGCATTTGAGCGGCATTTGGTTAAATAAACTTTTTGCTGAATATTTCATGAGCTCACCACTCTCTTCAACAGGCAAGTTTTGTTCAGAAGTCTTTTCTGCCTCTGCAGTAGTGGTGCCACTTACACGTCCATCTACAGCACCCCTGATAGTGGCCGTTAAACTGGGATGGTTCTTACTGGAACCTGGGCCTTGGGCTCTGTGCCCAACTTCAGAAGCATTTAATTTAAGTTGTTCCTGCCCAGATGTACTTATATCACAAGATACTAGGAGCTTCTCCTCCAAAGAAGGGCCTAAACAAACAGCATGAAGGATTATTTGTATGTAACTGCAAATTTCCATTTTTTTCAATCACCCATTTCCACCCCCAGATTCTAAAGGGAAGACCCTCAGTCACTCACTACACATGTGTAGAGGACTTCAGAGACAAAGAGATTTTAAAGAGCTTAAACATCATTACCTACTTTGATTCTCAAGAATGCTATGAGAGAGCAGGTAGAATGGTATAGTGGAAGGAGTACTACCTTAGAAATCTCGTGGCTACACAAGATGTGGACACTCACACTAATTACTGGTGAGACCCCTGGCCAGTAACATCATCGTTGGGTCTGTTTCTACCTCTGTCAACTGAAAAGGCTTGGAGTAAGTAAGATCCCTGAGATTCCTCTCAACACTACTCTGTGTCTCATGGCATGGTATGTGGTTACCTGCCCCAACTCCCATTACTTCACAGTGACAAAACTGAGGTACAGAAGTGTTTAAAGATTCATCTGAGGACAAACTGATTATAAATGAAGAACCTGAACTAGAGAGAGCGTCTTCTAAAGCAGCTTTCCCTGCCTCATTTCTCTTAAGAAAATGATATTAGTGATTTTTCCCAAACAAGAGTAATCTTCTGAAGAAATCTGTTTGTTTTTAAAATTCTAAGGTGGTTTAAATAGTATCTAATTTAGAAGCAAAAGTTTTCAATCACTTTTCTAAAAAGTGAGGCCCTCGAAATTTAAAAATCTAGTTTCTTATTTTGGTGAATTTCAATAGTACTCATATATTCAGGTACATGCTTCTTTGTCAACATCACTGTATTATTCAATGTATATAAGAGAAATAAATAAGCCTAGATTATCTTAAGAATACTTTCATTAATATTCTAGGAGTTACCTGCTCTCTGTACATTGTATAAGGCTGAAGCAGTAGAGAAATAAGGAATTTGTCCAGGGACACCATGTAAGGCAAAAGACTCTAGAATCTGACCTGGAGGGAGAGGCTGTGCTCCAGCCTTCTGTGTATGCAACTGGCCAAGTGGGGTGGTGGGATGGAAAGACTGAAAGGGCTGGGAAGTGGAAGAAGGCCCACATGTGGGAACTTCAACAGGCCCCTGCATAAAGTCACTGAATTCTTCTTCATCAAGAAAGGCAGGTGATGGGGAGACAGTTTTAGAATGAGATGATGTGGGATAATCTGCAAAATGGAAAGTGGCAATGAAACACACAGAAATGAAAATCATAGGGAGAAAGAAATTAAGATGTAGTACAATTCCAAAAGAATATATCAAAACATGAATAGTGCAGGTGAACAGGAAATAACGTGACAAGAGTCAAATGGACTTACACAATCAATACAAAATACTTTGATGTCTATTCATACACATCTTTTGTCTTTTTAAAAAGAGGTTCTATAGCTATTCTGAATTTTGTTCAAAACCAGAAAAATATAAAACTCAAAATTTCTTTCCTTCTCTTATTAAGTTAGTACTAATTTTTTCCCCTGAGATAATTTACATCACCACCAATAATTTACATCTAAGTGATGATTACTTTTGAAACTCCAGTAATCTATTTATCTGGATAATATTCTTTCAAACTAATATACACCAGAAATAAGCAAGTCTATCAAATGCTGCCAAAGACATTTTGAACAGAAACAGACTCTGATGATTAAATTTCATTATGCCAGTAAGAAAGAATGTATGACACATACTTATAATTTTTCATATATCATGTCTAATCCATACACTTTGCATAGTTCACATTTCAGTAAAGTTACCATGTGAAAAATGAAAATTACAAAAGACAGCAAGAACATTAAACACATTGCCAAGGTAATATTTTTTGTGAAAAGCATAAAAATTGGGACACCATAAATTGCTGAGTCAAACAACTTAAGAGTCAATTTAAGAAAGTAAATCTCGACTGACTAAGGACTATGGTTACTTTAGCTCTAAAGAATATAAAGATCGCTGTAGCCTTTTACTGTTAAATGTGAGACTCTCTTATGTGATAAACCTTCCTTAACAGGAACAACACTTACTATAAGGCTCATTTACAATACCATCATTGCCATAGTTTTAATTACTTTGAAATGCTTTAATATTCACTGAAGTCTAATGTCACAAGGGCAGTCTTTTTTAAAAAGACTCATTTGAACAATGGGGACATGATATGTTTCTCTTCTGGACATTTCTCCTTTGGATCTGTGAAATAAGACCTGGAAGCACTGAAAGAAAGGTCTATAAAAGATGCCAAATGAGTATGTAAAATTATTGTTTTAATTAGTTTTGTTTAAAAAGAGAAAGAAAAAAAGTCATACCATAATGAATTCCAACCTTCCCAATAATAGTGAGAACACGGATTTAAGTTTTCAATTTAGGTATAAAGAAGTAATAATTGAAAATAGAGAATGACTACATTTTTAAATGGACCTATTTATTAGTAATATGGCTGTAAAAGCTAAACCAATGTTTCTTTATCTTATGGGAATTATGTGAATTCTATGTGGTACATATTTTGGCTTATAAATTCTTGCAGCTCTATATATGATTAATAAAATGTAGAAGTTATATGGTTAATTCAGTTTATATATTCAATATTTTCAGATAAACAGTCTATGGGGGCAAATTTAAAGATGCATTTGGTGGTAAAAGACTGGAAACTCTATATATTTTAGGCCTAAGTTTAAGACTCTAACTGAAGAAGCTCTAAAAATTCCTTGGGCTTGCTCCAGAAAAATCTTTTTCTGGCTAAGCATGAAGCAGTTAACTAGAAATAGCTAACTCTACACATGTTGACTGAACTCACAAGATTATTTGAGTATCAAATCACCAATTTATTATTTCACAATGAGATTGTTAAATGACACCAGGTTGCCTAAAAAGGGCATTTGATATGGGTAGAATGGTGTTAGACCTAAAAATGACCACTCCTCTCTGCTGCCTTCTCCTTTGTTCCACATCGGGTCCAGTCTTAACATTCCAATGTCTATTCTTAAATTACGTCTTGGCCAGCTTATTCAACTGATAATTTTCACTTTTAGATATGTTTTCTGAACTCAACCTGATCACTAACTTCCATTTTCTTTCCAATCTGTGTATACTTTACTTTAGAGCATATTTTTGAAATGATAATCTGAGTATATGATCTAACAGGTGAAATTAACAGAACATAGTCAAAACTGTCCCCGAAAGTTGAAAACTGGTTCCTGTGACAATATTAGAGTACTCTTTCCTGACATCTCCTATGAAAAGAACTATATAAGGATTTAAGATAAAATTTATCAACATAATATATGCCAGCAAGAAATAGTACTTGATTGGCTGAATGATTTATGAAAGCTGTTCACCTATTAATGGTGTGTTATTTTTGAGATCTGTTGAGAATAAAATATAAAACATCAAATTTAAAAAGGATACAGTAAATTATATAAAGGCAAGACTCCTTTCAACAGTTAAATGTTCAAAACACATGCAAAAAAACCTATCCCTTTACCCTGCTCTAAATAAGCATTTTTTTATTATCTGATGATAAATGATAATAAAAACTACAAAGAAATGTATTAATGAAACTAAAATTTCATGAGGAGCATTATTAAACCCATGGCTTTTTTAAAGGGGGCATTTAAAAAATTTCTAAGTTTAATCAAATTAAATAAAATCTGAATTAGCTCATGAAAAGCAAAATTCTTTTAAAACAATGAGAATAAAATGATAAACGCCTTAAATGGTGACGTTTGCTTTGAGTGAATGGGTTTTACTACTGTTAACATACTCATGCATACAGAAGAGTTATTAGTGAGTTGACATACTGGCATTTACTAGAAGACAAAGTTTTTCTCTTCTCAAGGTAGTTAGTTATCCAGATCAGAACTCTTAACCCACTGTAAATTTTAAGACATCCAAATCCGTACTTAGCTTGAAGGAAGAGGTCAGCCCTGGCTCTTCACACATATAATGGTCAATTAAACACACAGGGAACATAAATCACCTTCCAACAAAAGAAAACCTTTAACTTAAAATACCTGGTTTCTTAGGGTGTGATGCTGGGGTAGGGTGCATCTTAGCATCTCTGGAAAACCCATCCAAGTTTCCTTTTATGGCTTCCAAAGCATCGTCTCTGCTCTTCTCTCCTATCTAAGAGACAACAAACATACTCATATTTCTTCACTTATCTCTCACTTCTAAATACTCCCAAATTAAAAGTATAGATATTAATCTGTTCCCAATGTTTTTATCACATCTTTTTTTTAAAGATTTTATTTATTTTTTAGAGAGAGGGGAAAGAAAGGAGAGAAACAGAGGGAGGGAAACATTGATGTGCTAGCAATACATCAATTGGTTGCTTCTCACATGCCCTCAAATGAGGACCTGGCCCACAGCCCAGGCATGTGCCCTGACCAGGAATCGAACTGGCGACCTTTTGGTTCACTGGCCAGCATTCAATCCACTGACCTATGCCAGTCAGGGCTACCACATACTTATGATAGTGAATTCTCTAAATCAGAAAAATACTTAGTGTATAAAACAAAGGCATAACATAACACTGTATACTATAGAGTCTATAGAATATTTTTATAGAATATAAAAATATTTTTAAGAACATAAAAATATTAAAAGGCCCATTTATAAATATCTTAGGATGCAGCTGTTATATTATGTTAATACGTCAATATTCTATATTAATGCCTCCCTAGAGAAGACTACAAACATTCCAATGCTAGTAAAAAAGAGTTGAGAAGATTGGCTGATAGCTCATTCCCTCAACAACACAGTGTCTTTTACAGGAGAGGAAAAATCGTTTACTTTTGGATTTTGGTAAACTAAAATCAATCAACCACAGCCTCAGCTCGGCTGCTAGTTGACAAGATCTACTGAAAGAGTGAGAAGAGGCGCATGCAGGAGTGTGTGTGTGCTGTGGTGGAGGGGTGGCGGAATATATTACCTTGGGTTTCACACTACTCAGAAGTCTGAGCTTTTGTTTCTGTTCTTCAAACTGACGCCTCTTTCTTTCTTCTTCTAAGAGCTTTTGCTGCTGTTCAAATCGTTTTCTGGAGGAAAAACATTCTAGTAAAGCTTCAAGGATTATCAACTGTGTTACATTCATATTTCTACTGACAATTTCAACAATATCATCTTACATTTCTAGAACTAAAAATGTCTCTGCTAATTATATCTAGTTTTTTTATGACAGTCCTATTTCCCCACTATATTAACTTCAAAATACAAGGTCTGGCAGAAGTAAAATGCCTGCTTGAGTGTGATTGGTAGGGTAATAATATGGGTGTAATAATTTATAGTTTTAATTTGAACACTTTCTCTAAAATGTCATATGGTGTACTCAAGTGTGATAGTTATGTTATAGAATTACATGCTTATGATTTTGTGATAAAAGATTTTGTAATAAAAAAGGGGAATTATTTGTGTTGGGCCCTGTCTATGAGTCTAAAAAATGATTTACCTAAACTACAGAAATGAATTTCTTGTCTAATTTGCAAGACAATCTTTTGCATTGAAAAGCAGCCTCAAAAAACAGACTGGGAGGTAGACAAAATAAAAACACTTTTGTTCTACATGTAAAAAAGAAACTTCCTCTTGGGAAGGCATGTCATATGGGAGAAAGAGCAACTGTCTGGGAGTCAGGAGACCTGCCTTTGGGTCCAGGCTTTGCTAGTAACTGTGTAACCTGGACTCACAAGTGGCTTCATTTCTCTGGACCTCACTTTCCCCAGATGTACAATTAGAGGGTTGAATTAGAGAATCTCTAAGGTCCCTTCAGGCTTTAAACTTATAGCAAAAGTATTTTAAAGAGTGTTAAAGGCAACATGACTGTTAGGGTTTTGAATTTGCATTAGAGAACATTTGAAATGTTTAAAATAACAGCTATCATGTTTTTTATCCTTGAATCCCAAGGTCCCTTACTGCTGCTCTTCGGCAAACTGCTTCTGCATGTCTGGAGTGTATTGTGGGCCTGGAGGACGCATCCCCAGGAATGGCGCTTGTCCCAGGTAAGGCATTCCTGCCGCTGGCACTGGTCCCATTGGTATCCCTGCCTAGAAGAAAAGGACGAAGGCTCAAAAAACACAATTTCTCCTTCTAATTACTACAAAGAAAAACTGTAACTTCCATAAATTCTTTCTTAATATTTTTATTAATGAGCTATATAAGTGCATTTCAATAAAGGGTTCAAAGAGCATAGGCTAAACATTGAAAGTTCCCCTTAATATCTCACTCCCTTCACTTCCTTCACTGTCCTAGAGACGACCATGGCTAATGGTCTGAGGGGGTGTGTGTGTGTGTAAATCTTTCAGGCTGAGTGTGTGGGGAAGGACACATACACCCAAGTTATTCATTCTGGTGAGCTTACACATAGGGAAGCACACATACACCCAAGTTATTCATTCTGGTGAGCTTACTAATGCCCACTGTTTGAGAAGAGATATATCTTACAAGTCTTTATTTCCAGTAGTAGATAAGAGACTGCTACATGGTAGTTATCCCACAAATGAGATTAAATAAGCTTTTCCAACATATATGAATAATGAGTATTTTCACATTCATTATCACAGGCCTAATATCCAAATTTTTACTGTAAATAAACTGTATTTAGTCAATAATAAATGATACATCAGCTCTGACTGGTGTGGTTCAGTGGGTTGAACTTCATCCAGCAAACCAAAATGTCATCGGTTCAATTCCAGGTCAGGGCACACGCCTGGGTTGTGGGCCAGATCCCCAGTTGGGGGCATGCAAGAGGCAACCAATCAATCTTTCTCTCGCACGTCAATGTTTCTCTCCCTCTCTCCCTTCCTTCCCATCTTTCTAAAAAGAAATAAAATCTTTTTTAAAAAGTTACTAACCTTTATAAAATTAATGAGATATCAATGATAATGGAAGGTTAATTTTTACTGAGTGAAAATTCTTCTACTCCTTAACCTCTTCCTTAAAAGATCCCCCCCCCCCCGCCGCCCCCTAACTGAAAACCTGGCTGCCCCTGGAAGCCCTCTCATTTGGAGATCACTGCTGCTCTCCCACATTTCCTACAGATGGGGAATATTCCTCCTTACTGCTTATGAACCTTTTCTCCTCTGTCCTCCTTCAAAGACCTGAATACATTTTAATTTCTTGCTATCAGATTTCATCATTTACTATCCTATCTTATTTATGTCATCTACTGATCCTCAGCTACCTCGTTCTTCAGCTGAAGTCTTCAGAACCTTGCTATCTTCCATTCTACTCCTACACTGCACTCAGTGACATTGTGGTATCAATAATCACACGGATGGCTCATCTAACACTGTGGCCTTTCGGGTCTCTGACTCCCCACAACAACCATGTCCAACATACCATTCCAGCTTGATTATCAGACCCAGTTACTTCATCATCTCCAAAGTCTTGATTTTAAGCATCCTAGCACTTTTTTCTTGGAAATACAAGTTACTTTTAATTAAAAAATAAATAAAAATATAGATCCTTGTTAAACACTTCATTTACAAATATGCAGCCTTATTTTAAAATGTGGTAATGCTCAAAGATGGCAGTTGACTTCACTTATATATATACCATGTTCTTAAAATATCAGTACATTGGCTTTTAAGTTATGTTCGGCCCTCCAGCTAAATTCTCAAATAATTGTCAAGAGTCATATGTGCTGGGCCCTGGCTGGTGTGGTTCAGTGGATTGAGCGCCAGTCTGTGAACCGAAGGGTTACTGGTTCAATTCCCAGTCGGTGTATGTGCCTGGGTTGCAGGCCAGGTCCCCTGTTTGGGGTGTGTGAGAGGCAGCCACACATTGATGTTTCTCTCCCTCTCTTTCTCTCTCCCTTCCCCTCTCTCTAAAAATGAATAAATAAAATCTTCAAAAAAAAAAAAAAAAGAGTTGTATGTGCTGGGATAAGCCCACCATTATGCTAAACAAGGTATGTTCTAGAGCCAAAGGTGACGTATTCATGAAATACTGGTTTTGATGTGACAGAAGTCACATGAGCACACAGATTTAATGGAAACAAAGTGATAAACTAGCAAATTTGCTTATTTAAAAATATATTTTATTGATTATCAATAAAATATATTTTACATATATTCATGTACGTTTACAAATTTTATTATCAATAAAATATATTTTTACATATACTATTACAATACAATGTACTATTGTATTGTATACAATATACTATTACAGTTGTCCCATTTTCCCCCTTCATTCCCCTCCACCCTACACACCCTCTCCCACCCACATTCCCCTTTTAGTTCATGTCCATGTGTCATAAGTTCTTTAGCTTCTACATTTCCCATACTATTCTTGCCCTCCCCCTGTCTATTTTCTACCTATCATCCATGCTATTCTCTGTACCTTTTCCCCCCTTTCTTCCTCCCACTCCCCTGTTGCTAACCTGCCATGTGATCTCCATTTCTGTGGTTCTGTTCCTGTTCTAGTTGTTTGCTTAGTTTGTTTCTGTTTTTGTTTTAAGTGTGGCTGTTAATAATTGTGAGTTTGCTGTCATTTTACTATACATGTTTTTTATCTTCTTTTTCTTAGATAAGTCCCTTTAACATTTCATAAAATAAGAACTTGGTGGTGATGAACTCCTTTAATTTGACCTTATTTGAGAAGCACTTCATCTGCCCTTCCATTCTAAATGAAAGCTTTGCTGGATAGAGCAATCTTGGATGTAGGTCCTTGCCTTTCATGACTTGGAATACTTCTTTCCAGACCCTTCTTGCCTGTAAGGTCTCTTTTGAGAAATCAGCTGACAGTCTGATGGGAACTCCTTTGTAGGTGACTGTTCCCTTATCTCTTGCTGCTTCTAGGATTCTCTCCTTCATTTTCACCTTGGCTAATGTAATTATGATGTGCCTTGGTGTGTTCCTCCTTGGGTTCAACTTCTTCAGGACTCTCTGAGCTTCCTGGACTTCCTAGAAGTCTATTTCCTTTGTCAGATTGGGGAAGTTCTCCTTCATTATGTTTTCAAATAAGTTTTCAATTTCTTCCTCTTCCTCTTCTCCTTCTGGCACCCCTATGATTTGGATGTTGGAATGTTTCAAGATGTCCTGGAGGTTCCTAAATCTCTCCTCATTTTCTTGAATTCTTATTTCTTCATTCTTTTCTGTTTGGTTGTTTCTTTCTTCCTTCTGGTCCACTCCATTGATCTGAGTCCCAGTTTTCTTCCCATCACTATTGGTTCCCTACGCATTTTCCTTCATTTCACTTAGCGTAGCCTTCATTTTTTCATCTAATTTGCGACCAAATTCAACCAATTCTGTGAGCCTCCTGATCACCATTGCTTTGAACTGTGCATCTGATAGGTCGGCTATCACTTGGTCACTTAGTTGTATTTGCTGTGGAGCTTTGATCTGTTCTTCCATTTGGGCCTTTTTTTGTTTTGTTTTGTCACACCTGTTATGTATGAGGGGCAGAGCCTTAGGTGTTCACCAGGGAAGGGCAACCCAGTCACTGGGTTGTGACACTGCATGTGGGGACAGGGGCAGAGAGGGAACAATGGGGCTTGCTCTGCTCTCTGTTGGATTTCAGTCCCTTCGGCCGCTTCCCTCAGGCAAACTAGGCCTTTCTGGTGCTCATTCCCATGTGGGTGGGCTTGTGCATGTTCTAGGACCCCATGGGTCTCTCCAATCAGCTCTCCTGTGAGGCTGGGAGTCTCTCCCAGCACCTCAACCCCCACAGGTGTTTTCAATCAGTGTTTTGAGGCTTTATTTCATGGCGCTGGGACCCTGGGTTGCATGGTTTGTCCTGCTCCCCAGTTTTGCCTGGTTTATCTGCGTGAGAATGTGGGTCCGCCCGGTCAGCCAGCCGCCTTGTGCGCAGTGCCTTGCTTCACAATTGCCACCTCACTGGGTCTGCCTGTTGCTGTCTTGTGCGCCCAGGGCGCCTTGTGCGCCTGGTGCCACCACTTTTTTTTCTGTGACCCCTCTCTGCCCAGCTACCCGACTCCACCCTTCCTACCGGTCTGGATGAATGTGTCTATTTTAACTCCTTGGTTGTCCGATTTCCATACAATTCAATTTTCTGTCAGTTCTGGTTATTTTGTTTCCAAAATGTTGTCCTTATTTTGGTTGTGCGAGGAGGCACAGTGTGTCTACCTACGTCTTCACCTTGGCGGTAACTCCTAGATTTGCTTTTTTTAAAAGGTGTTAAAATAACTCACTCTAAATTAAGCAACTATTTGGGAATTATAAAAACTGAAAACCTCATCCTTTTCCCACCTATAAGGGAAATAGATAGGTGGTGAAAATAATGACTAGTAGTGTTTCACATAGTCTTGTTGATTTAACATATAATTCCAAAATGCAAATATTTAAAATGGTGTTTGAAGATAAATATCTACAATGTTAATCTTGTGTATGCTGGGTTAATGTGATTGTTCTATTTACTTAGACATGTATCATCCTGATAAGCTTCCCCACACTCAACCACCACCCCGTCCTTCCAGTTCATATAGCCCAGCAATCTCCTGTCTCATTAATGCCTCCCATCCATTAATCTTACCAACTTTCCTGTTACCCACCATCTTCATGACCTCACTTCTCTTCTTGCCCAGTGTAGACTCCAGAGTTCAATATTAAATGCCCTTGCTTCTTTGCCATGGTCTCCTGGGAAACCTCACCCCTGGTTAAAGTCAATTAATGTCCTTCTCTTATCCTAATACCCAAGCCACTGAACCTCACTGACGAGAAAAACCTTGAGGACTCACTTTAAATTTTTCACCATAAATCTCAAGCGGATCCCCAATATAGGCCTGTCTTGTGAGGGCTACTATATAGGATTTCAGTCCTTTGAAGTTTCTTGAGAATTGCTACATGCCAGTATATGGTTAATTTTTAATAAATATTTTGTTTTTTTAAAAAGAAAGTATATTTTGCAATTTAGGGGTGGGGGAACAGTGTACTATTACCCATTATTCAACCTTGTTAAGTTTGTTTAAACTTATGATTTTACAGATTGTGGATTTGTCTTTTTCCTTGTCATTCTGTCAGTTTCTATCTTATACATTTTAAGGCCAAGTTATTAGGTGCATACAAATGTGAAACTGTTATAT